CTTTCCAAATGCACAGTAAAATAGTTTCCCATTTTACAGACTTCGGAAAGAGCCTCCATAAAAAGTAGCTCTGTAAGTGTCAGAAAGAAGTTATTTTCTCTCACATAAGCAGTCAAGGTTTTATCCTCACCAGATAACTACTTTATTATATTGCCTTTTAAGCAAATTTAGCACAAAAATGACAAATGAGAAAAAACCTGCCARATGCATAGTATTCATTCTCGCACTTTCTCTTAATTTAAGAAGAGGGTTCTGTCAACCTTGTGCCAGCTCCTAGAAGTATTTATAACTATTAAGAAATACATGCCACCATGAACATTGGAGTAATGAACACAATAGCATTTCACAAAGAGGTTTAGAGGAACAAAACCATTCCACGTATCTAAATTATTTTAAAATACAATCTGCCTTTGTATTGCTCATTTCCTTGCTCTAATGTTTATGCTAATAATAGCAAAAAGTTCAATGCTTGAAGAATTCTGCCCCTGCCACACCTAACAGCAGCTCCTGCTTGGAACCTGCCAACAAAAACACTTAACGTTTATGAATCCATCATAGTAAAAAATATTATAGAAAGACAGAGAGATTCATTTTTGATAGTCATGATGGACCTCCTGAATTTACAGAATAAACCCCAAACTGGTATTAGCACAGTACCTCAAATATGCAAGACATTCCAAATGATTCACACAAGATAAACGTGACAAAAGATGACTGACATCAAAAGATAAAAAAGACATGGCACAGAAAGCTGCTGTACACCAAGGGGTGACAGATTTTGAACTCGATCTAGRGCTAAGTGCTAAACACAAGCAGAGCAAGCCCCTGGAGCATCCCTGCAAAGCACAGATCCTCAGAAGCCTAGGTCACTTTGGGAGGATAGTCTACACTGGGAGGCACTGACACTGCACAGCATTCCCATAGCAAAAGCYATTCAGTCTTCATCAAGATAAAATACTTTGGCTCTATCGAGATGAAACCACAGGAGCTGGGCAGCAGAAGTCAAGAGTCCTCAAGTAGTCCAGGTCAYCAAGCCAGAGCTCAGCCCAACCTCTGCTACACACCACTGYAAGCAAAGGGAGACCTTCCTCAYTCCTGTACCCTTGGGCCACCCTCTGGTAGAAAAGCCAGACATCTGCAGAAATGCAGAAGGGGCAGCGAATATAGAAACAGAAGGRGCAAAACCAATTAGCATGGGTATGAGCAGCCAGGATCATTCAAGATTACCTGCAAGCTATGAAGTGCCTGAATTTGTGGTGCTGAAACGTAAATACAAGTTGCTTAATGTTAACATGCCATAAGCATGTACTAAACAGCCAATTTCAACAGATTGTTCATCAGGAATTCAGGAGATCACATTTCCTTTTGACAATTCTAAATAAGAAAAACTGTAAGGGCAGAGGTGAACATAAACGCAAAAAGAAGTAAATTAAATATGTGAACTGTGCATCGGGAGATGTTGAGCAATAGCAAAACTTGAAAAAAATTTTATGAAGCTGAGTAATCTACGGAACAGTCTGCAAAGCAAAGTGTGCAAAGCTCTATCAGCTGAAGTACACAAAGTGAGGTTTACAGGAGTATAAGAAACAACCTACGTTGGCAAGAGAATGGACAAGATCATCTCTTTCACCGCCATCACGGAATCACAGGCAGCAGAAAATATAGCTGGCAATAGTAACATGCAGAAAACCTTCRGGGCAGAACAAAACTGAGACTGTGYAACTCCTGAAATCTGCAGTTTAACATCCTGGCACATCCAAATGCTCACATTTTCTAACATCCAAATTGTATCCATTACAAGCGAGCAAATACCTGAGCTCTGGAGAGCTGTGCCATCAGGACAGTTTCCTCATCCTGAGGAGGAGCAGCCAAAAGTGACCTCAGCTTGGCAAAACTACTCTCCTGAAGGAAAAGCTCAGTGAAAATTGAGGTACAAAGTGTCTCATTAGAGGGGCTCAACATCAAATAAAGCCCAAAGTGAAAGGGTAAATGAAAGCAGTCTATTACCTAGACAATAACTGGGAGCAATCCCATTTCTTTATTATCTGGACCAGAAGTTAAACAGATTTACATTTAATAATGTAATATTACATCATTATAGTCACAAAATATAATGTAAAATTACATGGGGACCACTAGTACAGAAACGCCCTGAGCTGCAAAATTGGTTTATTTTTTATACAACTGGAAAACAAACACAGAAATTCCCAAGTAAAAACACAACTGAAAAGGTGAAGCCAAATGATGCATCCTTCTCAGTGGCACTTGACTTGTCCTGAGCCTGGTTTCAAAATTTTCTCAGACAGACACGGCTGTCCATCCAGAACAATTAATTTAACACACCATCCATTGCTAACAAAATAACCATGTCCCACAGATAATTAAAAAATGCATCAAGATATTCTATCAGACTGCTCTAATTACACTGGAACCTATCTAGCACTTGTCATTGTACTGCACAGTGATCCCAGATATTTCTTGCTTAGCTTTTACTATTTTGCTAAAATGTGGTACACCCTTTTATTCCTCCTTCTCCTAGTCATTACTGCCATTCTAAGAAAGTATTCAATAATATGTAGATAATGATTTTTTAAAAGTAAGTTAAAGGAATAATCATATTAATCTCAGCTCTGCATCTTGGACTAACTTTAAATGTGGAAAATCAGCCTACTGAAAGTGCTATGTAACATTTGCTCCAAATAAAGCAACTGCTCTTTTCTGCTGGCAAACAGAGCTTCAGTGGAGGACCCGAGGGTGCTCTTCCACTTAAACAGATCATTRAGAGAATCAAAGATTATCTCCCATAGAACAGTTGTTTAACAGTAAGAGAACTGCTCCTCTTAACATATGTTTCAGAGCTGCCTGGAAATCTGGTAACTCCGCCCTACCTTTTCTCCGTGAAAGTGATTTATAAATGCTATTAGCAAGTTAGGCTTGAGATCCTAGCTGCTTATGGGGATAGAGGTCAAGCAAACAATACAGTAACTGTTGAACTCAAGGCAATAAAACTGTTCTAGAATAGTATTGGAAAATCAAGAAAGYAAAACTATCTTGTTTCAATAGGCTACATAGAGCACATCCCCAGTGGGGACATCCACAGCGCACTGCCAGGGAGGCACAAGCCAGCTATCTGAAATCCCTCATATGACACTCTCCCAGTTCTTCCACAAACACTAATTTACGCAACAATCCCATGWACCAGATAACAATTAGCCTACTTCTGAGAGAAACAGAAAAATTGTCTCTGAATGTCACAATATTTAAAGCCAGTGACAGAGTCGGGATCAGGGTTCAGACTTCAGTCCTGTAAGGTTTGTGTTATATCTGAAGGTTACAACAAACTGCTTCAGCGTGCTGTCCTACAAGATTAAACAGTGCTCAATCCCTCACTGTGCTTGGAAGTAAGAGGTTAAAACTGAAGAGATTAAGAGTGCCTGATTAAAAAGAGGTGATACAATGAATGCAGTGTGTTTCCAACATACATATTATTTCATCTTCTTGCTTTATAAACTATTATAACATGTTTTTATAACTACATTGTACTGTACTATAATTTTTTACTTTTTCAACATAAGATGCAAAACGTATGTATATTTTATACCCTGCTCATAAGATTGCTACCTAGAACGAAATACACTTGAGGCACTTGTTTAATCTTAATACGTTAGCATCTGATAAACTGAGGAAAAGAGAAGTACATAGAAAAGGTCTGATTTACACTACTATACCTCCCTTATTACATTGTCATAGGGTGACTCAATAAAAAAGGAGCTATTATACAATCAAAAMCCCAGGGTTTAAAGTTTACTGCATCACCAGCTGGATAGTACACAYGACAAATGACAACATARAATTCTTAGTGTGTAAATCACATACTTTATGAAGAGAATCTGTACCCAGAACAGAAACCTGTGCCGATAATAGACTAATCCTTGTGACTGCCTGCTGTGTAAAACAGACTGAGTACATATCCTCTTACGAGACTTCACAGACCTTTATCCACTTRCTTAGCTCTTCCCATGTCAGTGCCCTCGCTCAGCCACAGGAATTGTTTATAGSTTTGGAGCAACAAGTAGATACTCCTTCTCTTAATCTCCACCTGCAACTGCTGTGTTGTGGACCGCTGAGTTTTATTTTGACGTTAGTCCCCAAGAGCCAACAAAAACGCACTCTGATGAACTACAAAACCACCAGTGCGTTACTGTGATTCCCTCTGGAAGGCTCGCTAAGGCAGTGTGGGAATGTCTAGCTTTACATCCCCCTCGAAGGGCAGCAACGGACGAGGAGATGGGCACTCCTGGAACTCTCGGCCCTCGGGGTAAACCCTCTGACAGCTGARGAGCTCCATGAACCGCGGGAGATGCGAGTCCCCCGCGCACCGCGGCCAGCGTCTCGGACTGGAGCGAGAAGGCGTCGAAATGTTTTACACAGCTTGGCATTTTCATTCACGCGACTTTAATCATGAAATACGTTTTGCTAGGGGTGCTGCTACCTTTAAAACCCCCGTCTTCAACTGCAAAATACTTTGCTCCTAACTCGGCTGTCTCTGATCCCAAGCCCTGCCATGGCGTACATGCCATTGGCGGCGCACCGGCCGGCCGTGCCTGCTGTAGGTGCACCTGCCCGCAGCCGGGCACGGCCGGGGCCGCCGCCAACGCGGGCCGGGGCCGGGTGCGCTGCCCGCCGCGGTGCCGCTCGCCGGGGGCAGCTCCCGGGCGGGCGGTCCCCGTTCGGCGGCGGCCCTGACGGAGCGGGGGTTACCCCGAAGGGGTGCGGAGCTGCTCCGCTGCCCCTCTCCCCGCCGGGGCCGGGCTACCTGAGTCGCTCCCGCCGCAGCCCTTCCCCGCAAAGGCTCCGGCTCGAGTCCGCGCATGGGAGCCGTGCCGGGGGGAGGCGAGGCCGCGCCGTCCCGCCCGCACTGCCCAGCGGCCGAAGAGGGCAGCCGGAGAAGAAGGACGCGGCGGCCCAAGCAGCCCGGCGCTCCGCCCGCGGCCCCTCACCTTTTCTTCTCCTTGTCAGCTGTCATCGCGGCGGCTCTGCCGGCTCCTGCGCCGCCTCTCGGGCCGGGGCGCGCTCAGCACCTGCCCGCGGGACGCGGGGCTCCGCGGGCGGCGGCGGGCGGGGAGCGGGGTCCGGTTCGGCCGGGTCGCCCCCGAGGCGGGCGTACAGTCTCAGGACACTGCCGAGGATTGTACGGCCCGCCCGGGGGAGGCGGCGGTGGCGGCGGCTGCTGCGGCGGGGCAGGAGCGACGCGGCGACGGGGCTGTGCAGCTCGGCGCCGCCCGCAGAAAGTTCT